TGGAAGGTCACAAAGTTATTGTAGAGGGGGTTGTGGTACTGCTACCAATACTTCTGTGCTGGCAGTGGCTTTGCCTGAGCAGCTGGAGAGCGGAAGCTGCTGGGATCCCAGCTCTGATGAGATGCAGAAGTAAGGGTGGCAGGGTATGGTACTGCTGCTGTTGGTGGTGCTGCCTCCAGAGATGGGTGCCTGGCCAATAGCCATTGCCCTGCAGCTGCCCAACTCTGAAGGCTGTGCAGAAGTAAGAGTGGCAATCTCACAACGCCCTTAAAATAACCTCGTGATCCACCCTGCAACACCCTTTTGTGTCAGGATCCCAATCTAAGAAACGCTGTTCTCCCCCACGAAATCTGAATGGCATAGGGTAAAAGCACATACAGACCATTTCATAGTCATGGTATGTTTTTCATAGCCGTGGATTTGGTAAGGTCCCAACCATAATCATGCTTGTTTCATCACTGATGATTGTTCATGGATGCCATGTGGTGTGATTGTTACATGCATGTGTGAGAAGATCAGCGAGGGGATCGCTGGGAGGATAGACAAGTGTATTTTTTCTGTCCTTTCCTTCGCAGCAGCTCATACGGAGTCCAGCTTCGATGTGGTTCTGTCAGGCCTGGTACCAGGCAGTGTGACGTTGCACAGTGCAGAGGTACTGGCAGAAATAGCTCGAATACTCAAGCCAGGGGGTCGTGTCCTTCTGAAAGAACCAGTGGCTATGCAAACAGGTAAGAGCGAGTCCCTGTTCTTGCCCTGGATCTGAGGCAAGCTGAACACCTAAAAGCTTAGAATGTCAGTCAGTGTAAACTTAGTGTGTGACTCACTAACACATGCAGCAAGATGTGACCGTGTAGCTAAGGTTACACGCTCAGGTTAGAATCTGTGCTGATGACCACCTTGCAGCGAGCAGTGAGAGACTACTTTAGGCCTGTCAAGCGATTTAAAAACTGGGCAATAAACAATAAGAGAATAGCATTGATTTACATATTTTTGGATGTTTTCTACTTTTCAAATGTATTTCAGTTAGAACACAGAATACAAAGTGGACAGTGCTCACTTTATTTTTGATTACAAATGTTTGCACTGTAAAAAACCAAGTAATTTTTCAGTTCACCTGCTACCAGTCCTGTAGTGCAATCTCAGAAAGTTGAAGTTACACATGTAGAATTATGTACCAAAAAACCTGAATTCAAAAATAAAAAATGTAGAGCAGGTGTGGGGAACCTCAGGCCCAGGCCCTGGCTTGCCTGGATCTGGTCCCCAAGGCTCAGGGCTCCCCTCCAGGATTGGAGACCCCGTGCTGGCACTCCAGTCCCCCCACTGACCCACCGTGGGGCTGAAGCGCACAAAATCTACTAGGCTGAGTCCCCTTATGTTCTGCTGAATATGGGTTTCTCAGTTGGGGACCACGTTGGTGTTTGTTTTTGTTTTTGTTTTGCTGCTTGCTTGTCTGCAGTCCTCCAACTGATCTTTCTGTGGGTCAGTGGCTGCTGACCCAAAAAAGGTTCCCCACCCTTGTTTTAGAGCCTACAGGTCCAGTCAGTCCTATTTCTTGTTCAGCCAATCACTCAGACAAACAAGTTTGGTTATGATTTGCAAGAGATGATGCTGCTCATTTCTTGATTACAATATCATCTGAAGATGAGAACAGGCATTCACACAAGAACATGAGAATGGCCGTACTGGGTCAGATCAAAGATCTATCTAGCCTAGTATCCTGTCTCTGACAGTGGCCAATGTCAGGTGCCCCAGAGTGAATGAACAGAAGAGGTAATCATCAAGTGATCCATGCCCAGCTTCTGACAAACAGACTACGGACACCATTCCTGCCCACCCTAGCTAATAGCCACTAATGGACCTATTCTCCGTGGATTTATCTAGTTCTTTTTTGAATCCTGTTAAAGCCCTGGCCTTCACAACCTCTTCTGGCAAGAAGTTCCACAGATTGACTAGGCATTGTATGAAATACTTCCTTTTGTATTTCAAGACTGCCACACCCCTGGCTTTGTTCAGATTCCACCACCAAGCCCAGGTGTCAGCTGGCTGGGCCATGCCTCCACGCCTTCCCTCAGGGACCATCCCCCACTGGGCCCTGCAGACAATCACACACTGAGTCTCTGCAGACCAGCATAGGGCAGTAGGGGTCACACACAGCACAATACAGAAACCAGTGAATGCCAAACCAGAGTGGATCCAGAGCCACAAGCATGTTACAGCATACCCCCTACGTCACAAGGGGACCTTCCCTCATGTCCCATGACAGCAAGGCACTGTTGTAGCTGGCGGCACAAGATATTTGTGTCAGATCCACTAAAGATGCATGTATCCCTTCAAGCTTCAGCCACTTCCAGAGGACATGCCGATGACGGGTACTGGCTGATACATGTACATTTTCATCAGCTGAGTCAGATGCCACCAACCGAAGGTTATAATTTTCTTTTTGGGTGGTCTGATTCTTTAGTTTCCACATCAGAGTGTTGCTCTTTGAATACGTCTGAAAGCACACTACATTTCTTATCTCCTCCGATTTTGGATGGCACTTCTCATTCTTAATCCTTGGATCAAGTGCTGTAGCTATTTTTAGAAATCCCAGCTTGGTACCGTCTTTGCATTTTGTCAGATCTGCTGTAAAAATGTTCTTAAAACAAATACGTGCTGGGTCATCATCCAAGACTGCTGTCTCATGAAATTCATGGCTGAATGCAAGTAAAACAGAGCAGGAGTCATACAGTTCTCCCCCAAGGATTTCAGTCAAAAATTAAATTACTTGTTTTAATGAGCATCATCAGCATGGAAGTGTGTCCTCTAGACTGATGACTGGAGCATGAAGGGGCATATGAATGTTTAATATACTTGGCACATAAGTACCTTGCAGCGCTGGCTACAAAAGTGCCCTGTGAACCTATTCTCATTTCAGGTGATATTGCAGACAAGAAGGCGGCAGTATTATCTTCCATAAGCATAAAGCAACTTGTTTGTCTTAGTGCAGGGGTGGCCAACCTGTGGCTCCCGAGCCACATGTGGCTCTTAGCTCCTTACATAGGTTCCAAATCCAGGACTGGAGCTACAGGTACTAACTTTCCACTGGGCCAGGGGGTGCTCACTGTTCAACCACCAGCTCTGCCCTAGGTGCTGTCCCCCTCCACCCTTTTCCCCCTAGGATCCTTCCACTTCCTACCCTCTCCACTGCGCCTGTCACACACATGCTTCCCCCTTCCAGAGTCTCCCACTGAGAGAGCTGATCACAGTGGGCAGGAGGAAAAGGAGAAGAGGCACTGACCGGTGGGGCTGCCAGTGCATGGGATGTGCCGAGTGAGATTTAGTTGGGATTGGTCCAGCCTTGCGGAGGGGGATGGACTTGATGACCTCCTGAAGTCTCTTCCAGCTCTTATGATTCTATGGTGGTAGGAGATGATCAGGGCTGGTGACATATAACTGCTGCTCTTTGGCAATGTGCACTGGTAAATTCTGACTCCTCAGGTTTAGGTTGGCAACCTCTGCCTTAGTAATAAGCTGACCAGGAAGTAGGACTGAGTAGACTTGTCTGCTCTAAAGTTTTACATTTTGTTTTAATTTTTGAGTGAACTTACGTAACATTTTTCTACATTTGTAAATTGCACTTTCAGGATAAAGAGTTTTCATTATGTATGAGGTGAATTGAAAGATACTAAATCTATTATTTTTACAGTGCAAATATTTGTAATAAAATACTAAGTGAGCACTGTACACTTGGTATTCTGTATAGTAGTAAAATCAATATATTTGAAAATGTATAAACACTCAAAATAGTTAATAAATTTCAGTTAGCATTTTATTGCTTCACTGTGCAGTTAATTGCAATTCATTTTTTGAGTTAATCATGTGAGTTAACTTCAGTTAACAGCTCTGTTCTTGTGAGTTTACTGAGAGCTATGCTTAGTGGGTGCACAGAGCTGATTTGTTTGTAATGACTTGTGTTTTTGGGGCCTCTGTGAAAGTAAAATTAGGTCTTGAACTCTTAGTGTCTGGGATCACCTTTTACTCTGTAGTGTCTCGCAGAGGGGCTTTGATCTTTAAGCAAATATTGAAAGGTTCCAATCATCTAAATAAGGAGGGAGACAGTACAGGTGCTCTATCACAATTTACAAAAGACATGAATGGAGTCGTCTTAGTAGGTAATGTCAGCTACCCAAAGGAAAACACGGGGCCCGCACATACTAATTAAATTAGTCGGTGTAAGACCTTCTGCCCTCTGGAATGAGCTCTTTAATGTATATTTTTAAACTTTAGCCATCTTAGGACTTCGTATTTTTGAAGACTTCCATGAGCCTGTTTGAAGTGGGAGTGCCCATTTTTCTTGGCTATTGGGGAAGCTTTCATGGCCTTAATGTATTTGTCAAGAGCATAGTTTTGAACTACTTAACAATCTGAGTTGCAGAGCCTGCTTGAATGAACCTCTGATTTCCACAATGCACCTGGAGTGCTTAGGAAAGAAGCATGTAAACAGAGGGATTAGCTGGAATGCCACCTTCTAAAGCACAGTCAGTCCTTTCACGTTCTAAACACCACATCTGGCTCTTAACAACGAGCTTTGTTGTGTGTTCCTTGTCACAATTCCCAGGTGACAACAGCCGGATCAAGACCGCAGCCAGACTCCCCACAGCTCTGACACTCTCTGGGCTGGTGGACGTGAAGGAGGTATGTGTAGATGTGCCCTAACCACCTCGAGGGAGCCCCCGTTTCAGGACTGTTTTAAGTGGAGTCCAGGCTTCCAAAAGGGTTGCTGGTTCTTCGCTACCCTGCCGTGTTTCGGGTAATGCAGCAGCACAACCAGGACTCTTAGTACGGCATGAATAAGAGTTTATTCCATGCACCTTCAAATGACCAGTGGCAGTGAGCCATGCAGTATCACCGCTGTCCAACAGCCGGCTCTGGGATCCACTGTGTGCAGGCGGGGAGAATGAGCCGGTGTGCAGCTCAATGCAGCGTCCTGAGACAGAGGCAAACCCTTTGCTATCTGCGATGATGTTGCCACACAGGGCAGTGAAATAAGGGTTAACACGCACTGTGTCTTGCCTTCCAGCTGCAGAAGCAGCCGTTAAGCCCTGAGGAGGCCCACTCAGCCCAAGAGCATCTGGGTTACCAAGGCAATGACCTTGTGTCTGTTCAAATGGAAGGCAAGAAACCCAGCTTTGAAGTGGGCTCCTCACATCAGCTCAAACTTTCCTTTGCTAAGAAGTCTGCTCCATCAGGTAAGGGGAAAGGGTTGGCTGGTGGATGTGCGGGGGGTATGGGAAGAGAGGAGACTAAGGGGGGATACGATAGAGGTCTATGAAATCATGAGTGGTGTGGAGAAAGTGAATAAGGAAAAGTTATTTACTTGTTCCCATAATAGAAGAACTAGGAGCCACTGAATAAAACTAATGGGCAGCAGGTTTAAAATAAATAAAAGGAAGTTCTTCTTCACACAGCGCGTAGTCAATCTGTGGAACTCCTTGCCTGAGGAGGCTGTGAAGGCTAGGACTATACCAGGGTTTAAAAGAGAACTAGATAAATTCATGGAGGTTAAGTCCATAAATGGCTATTAGCCAGGATGGGTAAGGAATGGTGTCCCCAGCCTCTGTTTGTCAGAGGGTGGAGATGGACGGCAGGAGAGAGATCGCTTGATCATTACCTGTTGGATTCACTCCCTCTGGGGCACCTGGCATTGGCCACTGTCGGCAGACAAGGTACTGGGCTAGATGGACCTTTGGTCTGACCCAGTGTGGCCATTCTTATGTTCTTATGATGTATAAACTCCCACCGCTTTTCAGTGGAGAGCATAATAATTGTGAATGCTTAATAAGAACGTCTGTGTTAACAGCCACTCTATCTATTGGCGACTTCCAGTACTGTTTCAAAGGTTCACAACAAAGCCCAGGATGAGGGAAGCCTGTGTCCTTTCCTGTTATGCGGTAATGCACACCGAGAGCTGCAAAAGGATTTTCAGAGTGTTTTTTATTTTTTTTAACCTTTATTAGAAACACCAGGCAATCCAGTTGTTTGTTCTTCCTATGTGCCAGGGTGCTATGCAAGATCTTTGAAGGATATAAATGGTTCTAGAGTGTCCACGCTATATGTCCAGAATATGTTCCAAAAAAGTGAACATTTAGGGTGTGTCTAGACCAGGGGTTCCCAAACTTTTTGACACGGGGACCAGTAAATCCAGTCATGAATTTTTGGAGGACCGGTAACGTTCATTTGCATATTTGCATATTCATTAATCAAATGATGAATATTCAAATAAGTTGTTTCTGGTCCTCCCAAAACCCCCAGTGCCAGCTTTAGCAAAGCTTTTGATATGGTCGCCCACAATATTCTTGCCAGCAAGTTAAGGTGAATTTTTGGAGGACCGGTAACGTTCATTTGCATATTTGCATATTCATTAATCAAATGATGAATATTCAAATAAGTTGTTTCTGGTCCTCCCAAAACCCCCAGTGCCAGCTTTAGCAAAGCTTTTGATATGGTCACCCACAATATTCTTGCCAGCAAGTTAAGAAATATGGATTGGATAAATGGACTGTAAGACAGACAGAAAGCGTTTCCCAAACTTTTTGGGAAATGGCTGGAATGTTCAAAAAAGGGTAGTACCCTTCCCATTCATCACAGAAAGTCAAACTGGAGGCAACCTCAGAAAGAAAACCAAGTAAGAAGTCAGCTCTGGACTTAACCAATCTCTGCCCAGGCCCTAAACCATCCTAGTGCCTCACACCTGCTACTTGAGACAAGCAATCTTGACAATGAGGTCCTGGTGTTTTGTTGCCCAGTGCTGTTTCAGAGGACAGAGAGTTCAGTGAAACAGAGCTATTAGCTAAAAGTTAGGCTTCATGTCTGTGTAATACAGGTACCACTTCTGTGAGCTCAGATCTGACTGCAATGAGTGCTAAATAAATGCTTGCCTATATGACAATCTCTGTTGACTCTTTCTGTTAGTGTGTTTGTCGCAGTTATATGTCTAACTAAATGTCTAATTTTAATGTCTGAATAGCAAGTATCTGGAAATGGTATTTGGCCAAATATAAACAGGTAGAGTAGAAATCAACTATCCCATATTGAACTGGAACTTTTATTACAATAAGGTTCTACTAGTAAGCACAATCCCATTGATATGTAATAGAGACAGCAATTTATAAAAGAAGAACTTGAAATTGGTTACAATTTAAATGGCATTAATTAATTAGACACCTAAGGCAAGAACATAAACAAAATGTTACAAACCTTAAAGCTGCTTGTTTGGTTATTTTTAAAAAAACATTTCTTTATTCAACTCTCTCTCTTTCTAGGTCCTTTCATAGGCATGGAGACTTTAAGGCCAGAAGGGACCATCATGATCATCTTGTCTGATCTCCTCCACATTGCAGGCCACAGAATCTCGCCCACCCACTCCTGCAACAAAGCCCTAACTTTTGCTGAGTTACTGAAGCCATCAAATAATGATTTAAAGACTTCAAGTTACAGAGAAACCACCATTTAAACTAATTTAAACCAGCAAGAGACCCATGTTCCAAGCTTCAGAAGAAGCTGAGATCCTACCCCGTTTCCAGGATCTCTGCCAATCTGGCCTGGGAAAAAAAATCCTTCTCAGTCTTATGGCAATTACTTGAACCCTGAACATGTAGGCAAGACCCACCAGCCAGACACCTGGGAAATAATTCTCTGCACTTACTCAGAATCCTCTCCATTTAGTGTCCCATCTACAGCCACTTTGTTACTTTGCTACAGGGTCTTTGTTACTAGCAGTCAAATATGCTCAATATGCCACCCACTCTCTAAACATATCAAGCTCAGTCTTGAAGCCAGTTATGTTTTTTGCCCCAGTACCTTCCTTGGGAAGATGTTCCAGAACTTCACAGCTCTGATGGCTAGGAGCCTTCATCTAATTTCAAGTTTAAACCTGTTGGCCAATTTAAATCCGTTTGCTCTTGTCAATGTAGTGAGGCAATGGGGCCTCCCTCTGGATGAGAGAGTGAGATACTACTGCCATCCCCTTGGTGGATGATCGGCTAATCATACCACTGAGCCTGCCTACATGCCCTGTGGGGCACCCTGCCAACTGCTGAGCCAGAAGCTCTGGTCTCTCCCAGTAATGTCACAGAGTTGAGGTTAGCCCACAACAGACACTAAGAGTAGCTCACCTCTGGAAAGGCTCAGTCACGGGGACTTGACACAGCATCCAGGTTGAGACTTTTTTGAAAGTATCTTTCGAAAGAGGCTTGTAGTCTAGACATACCCATAGTGAAAGGACATAAAGCAGGGAATTTTTTCCCCGCGGATGACTTCCATTTGCGCGAATGGGCCCCTTTTTTTTTGTGCGACAGAAGAGTGAGGAATGAGAGGACTTGAAATGGAACAGTTCCCACAAGTGTCAACGATGCTAGTGTGCAACCAGTGTATAGGGGCAACTTACAGTGGGGATGCCCTGTATTAAATTACAGCTGGAAATACGGCAGTCTTGGCTCTCAGCATCAGTGCCCGCTCGGCTATGACTGCATTTCAAAGAAAGCGAGAAATGAAAGAGGTGAACATATTATGAAGATATGCAGTTTCCATAAATGACATCTCATTCTGGTGTTAAAAACGGCTAAGCTGGGAAGGATATTGTCACTTCTTTTTTTCATAGCTGATCTTTGCTGAAAGAGGAGGTGGCATGGACAGAGGATTCCATGCACAAATTTAAAGATGGATTTGAGTGAGCGAGCAGGTGCTTGGTTTCTGAGAGCAGTAACTTTTTTCCATAGGGAGGGTGCAGGGTGATAAAAGGCACCACAGTACAAGGTGATGATGGAACCGTTTCCTTGCAAGGTTAGGCGTGGTTCATACTGTGTGTGATCATTTGGTTCCAGGCAAACCTGCTGTGGACCCCACTGCTGCAAAACTCTGGACGCTCTCTGCCAATGATATGGATGATGAGGGAATGGTAAGTTGTGTTTTTGTTTTCCACGCAAAAATTAGAAGTTTTCTGAACTTTCACTCATGGTACTTTACCGATGAGCTGGTGGAGAGAGAACCACGTGGAAAAATTCCTCTAATACTACGGGGGTTGATTGCATGGAGCATAATTCTAACATGATACCAGAGATTGTCCTTTCTTTGACTTTCACGCTGCTCATGTCTCTATTCCCTGTTGAGCCAGATTCCTACTTTTGTTGTTTTCTTCCTCCATGTTGTCTCTTTCAGGATCTCCTGGACTCAGATGAGCTGCTAGACTCTGAGGATCTGAGGAAGCCAGATCCATCTTCCCTCAGAGCTCCATCCTGTAAGGAAGCGGGTAAAAAGAGAGCCTGCAAAAACTGGTGAGTACGAGACTTGATGTACTGGTGAATGCGCAGATTTCATATCAGATTTAACCCGTTGCTCTTTGAAAAGCACCTGGTGCTGCTTCACCAAAGAATTATTCGTTTTGCTTGTTTTTATCCTTAGTGCATGTAGGTCCATATCTCAGTACTTAGTTCTAAAAATACATTCAGAAATTTGTAAGCCAGATGAATATTTGTGGGGGGAATTTTTAAAAACGGAATTCTAGTGTGTAAACCTTTCTTTTAAATGTTGTCAAGGGCTTGTGTGTATTAATAAAAATTGGAGTCCAGCAACTAGAGAATCAGTTTAGCTTAATTTTAATTTTTTTAAAGGCAGCCTTAAATGGCATTTAAGTGAATCTATATTAAGAGTGTATCCTGGTGTAACTAGACTGTGTTCACCTCAGGTTTACTTACATCCCAGGCATAAATGTTCCCGCTATTAGATGATTAGTCTTCCCCCAATACACAGATTCACTTGAGGCTCACCCTTGATTTCTCTTTAAAACTGTGGCTCTTTCTCACATTTCTTCCAGAGCATTATGGCATGCAGGTTTTCAAATGAGAGTTTGGTATTTGATAGCATTTCCCCATGTGCTTAATTGGGACATATTACATGGTCCTAAAGGCTATGGGGAAAATAAAGGTGTGAGAGAGGGTAGGGTGTCCATGTGTATGAGTGCACATGCACTAAAGTCCATTGTGTGGAATGATCTTTTGGGCTGAGATCGTATCTGGTGGAGGCCTGAGAGAGAAATGGTAGAGGGTGGAATGGGTAGAGTCAATGGCTAAGTCCATTGCAAACAGGTTTAGGACAAGTCCAGTTTCTTCCGCAGCACGTGTGGTCTCGCAGAGGAGCTGGCTCAGGAGAAGAAGGAGAGCTTGCAGCCCAAATCTGCTTGTGGAAATGTAAATATCCTTCAGTCTATCCTGGGAAACACGGTATTCTTATCTGTGAACTAATTTGAAAAAATACAGTAATTTCTGTGGGTTATTGATTGCTACCGTTTATGGGCTGATTGTATTAAATAGTATTTTTTCCGAGAAGCAATCATGCTATCTTTGCAGGGCTATCCGATTTTGTCATAATTGGTTTCGGTGGGTGTAATTCTTGCTCTGCGCACATTCCCCCCTCTCTAATGAGAGCTAGACCAAAGCCTCCCACTTTCCTATACTTTTGATTCCCATTCATGACCTCCCTGAGCTGAATTTGAATCCATTAAGCTGCTCAGTATTTGCTAGAATGTCTCCTCTGCCCAAAGCCATCTTTGTTCATTCAGAAAATCCCATTCTGCTTTGGTTTGGAGAAACCGAAGGCCCTCAGAGTTGGATGTTAGAACAGCTAAGTGTTAGCCCTCCTGTGGGGACGCTGCGGGAAAACTCCTTCCTTGTTCATTCAGTTCTGGGCTACTTCAGACTCAGTCAAGACATAACTAAGTTTGCACTGATTGCGGGAGGCTGAATGTAGATTCTTTCTGTGCTGGTTTCATCTCTGGGGGGCAGATCGGTTTGCCCTGGCAGAGTTACATTTCCTGTTGGAAAGAGAACTGAACTCATGAAGCTTTGCCTTTTGTTTGTGTCTGACCTTGGGAGCAAGCTGATGTTTTTGTGATTCTCTCTTTTGCAGTGTTACCTGGGTGATGCATTCCGCTGTGCCAGCTGCCCCTACATGGGGATGCCAGCCTTTAAACCTGGAGAGAAGATACTCCTGGCGGAGAGCAATCTTCATGATGCCTAAGAGGGGACGTTACGGAGACCCCACTGAAGCACAGCAGTTCCATAGCTCACTGGCTTCAGTGCTTACGTGCCCCATCTCCTTAAATTCTCTCTCCAGGAAATATTTCCATATGGGAAGGGGAGGAGGAGTGGGGTGGAGGAGGAGTGGGGTGGGGTGGGCTGGGATATTGAGGGTCCATTGTGCTGCTGTGAACTAAAAATGTGAGTTCATCAGACTTGATTAACTTTTGGGTAACTGATAATCTTCCGTGAGGATTGGTCTCCTATCATGTACATAGTACAGACTCTGCTAGTGCTAGGGTTTTCAAATGTATGTGGCTATATGCTGGCAGGTCCTGGCTGTCATAGCACATGCTAGTGGGAATGTGAGAGTTTGCTTAGTCATTTCTCAAGTCTCTTGAGGCGACACTTCTCTCCTGCTCTCTTCTGGAGGCTTGAATCGAGAGCGGGTTTGTCAGCCCATACCATGTACACCAAGGCCTCCATTGGAACTCTTCACAAAGAGAATCCAATGAAAATCCCTTGCAGAGTTGAGCAAACACGATAGGTTTCCAAGTGTCTCGGAAAGCTGCTAGTGGTAAAACTTGCTCTCTTCCCCTGCCCCCTTCCCTGTTCCCTCTGCTTCCAGGAAAAGGGGGAAAAAGTTTTGTTCAAGCAGCTTGAAACTATATGTCATCTCTTCTTTGCCTCCCCTTCTTCCATCCAATATGCTTTGGAAACGTAAGGGTTAATCCTAGTGAATATCTTAGTCTAGCTAAAGAGAGGAGAGTTAGCTATAATTAAGGCTTAGCAATAACTATTGAATTATGCTAATGTTGGGGTGCTATGTGCCACCACCTCCTTCCCCTACCCCCTGAAAGAATGACCTTTGACAAGTGCTTGAGTATTTATTTATCTGCCCAGTGTTACAGTGGAAAATGTTTTCAGGGTTGTGACTGACCTCCCCTCCCTGCAGCTTCCGAACCTTTCCTGAAAAGTTTCCTGTTCACCAGGTTTATTTCCCTTGGTTTCCCACCTCACAGTCCGTTTCAACACTTTCATGTATAAAAATGGAATCATCCTATTTAGAGCCACCTTGGTATGGAATTCAGCTTCCCATTTGTCATCACCCTGCACTGACGTGAAATAAGCTCATGTAGTGGGTTAGGGTTAAGGGATCTTCTGGTTTTAAAGGCTGGGACCAGTAATAAAGCTTTTGTTCAAAATTAGTCGTCTTGGAGTTCTAAGTGAGGTTTAAATCTCTTCCTTGATTCTCGGCTGATTCTTGTTGGCTTGACTTTGATCTGCCTAGAGACAGCACACGCTAGCCTTCCCCCGACAGTAACTGTTCCAGCAAAAACTATGCCCACACATGTTTCATGATATTCAGCGTAGGAAAGAACACAATGCAGATTTCCACAAGAAATACTAAACTTCCTCGTATTCAGAGTAGGAAAGAATACAATGCAAATTTCCACAAGAAATACTAAACTTCCTCCACTGGATTTCTTGAGGTAAATACAAAACATAGAAAAACCTTCCAGGTGAGTGTAAAAGCTGTGACAGTTGCCTAGGATGCCAGCTGGCAACGGGCTGTGGATGCTGAAGGGTTTCCTGGAACAGCTTCCTAGCTCTACTGGTGGAAACAGTTCTGTCGAGTTTTGTAATAACTCCAAAGGAAACACTGTTCTCTTGGGGTTTTCCCTGGGCTTATCTAACTCGCCAACAGCGTAAACGCTCCTACGTCTTCAGAGTCTGGGGAAAGGAGAGGATCCCCCCCCCCCATTTTCTAAAGGGTATTTTCTTTCAAAGTGACAGCGCTTGACAGCTGTCTTGGGTTAGAGCCAGTGAGGCTAAGGTGCACGCGGTGGTTTCAACCAGCCCTCAGTGTATTTCCCTGTGGTGACTGTGGGACAGCTGGTGTCGTTATTCGCATTCAAGCAAGTTCAATGGCAGTGGATCAGAACTAGGCTGTGCAAATATTCAAATCCACATCAAGCAGCCTGAGCCATGTTAGGAAGAAATTCTGTGTCGCTGGATTCTTTTTCTTTACCCTTTCCTTAGGGCTCACCGGGGGAGAGGCGAGACACACGCACACGCCTGTACCTTCTCTCGCACTGACCCAACCTTCCCTGCTCCTTTCTGGCCAGCACTCTCACTGTCGTCTTGGGCTTTCCCGATGGCTGTGGGGGAAGGAAGGAGCCTGCTGGGTAGGCTGTTGATGAGCTCAGTGTATGGGTGGGGGAGCAGGAAGAGGACAGCAAGAGGGAGAACATGCATATGGCCATTGGCTGGCACCTCCCCGCCCCCCCTCCCAGCTCAGTGCGCAGCCAGTGCTGGCTGGAACGGGGCTGGGGTGTGGGGGCCTGCAGGTTGGGAGCCAGCACAGTGGGGGCTGCATTGATGGACCAGCAGGGGGAGTGGCCAGTCCTGTGGGTTGCAGCTTTGCCCTTCCACCTACCCCCAAATATCAGCCACAGTTTCTCTCCACGTTTGCGCCCTGAAATCAAACCAATTCCATGTGAGCGGGAACCTGCGCTCCATCACCGGCTCTGTCCCCACAGCTGCAGAGCTGCAGGGGACTGAGATGCTCCCGGGGCAGTGGCCTCTGCAGGGCCTAGAAGAGGAAGAGCAAATCGACGTTTAAAATACAGCGCAGAAGCAGCTCCAAGCCTGCTTACTCTGTGGTCATGAGCAGGACCCCTGCGGGGCGGGGCGTGGCAGCTGGTTTTGGCGGGGAATGAGTTTGTTCTGGTGCTGTGGCAGGGGGAGAAGGTTGTGCCCATGAAAGCTCATGAGCCCATCTACATGTTGTGTTAGTCTTTAAGGTGCTACCAGTCTCCAGGCGACCCCCGCGCTTTTGACCTAATTGGTTCCTGGAGAACTGCTGTAACTCGAACCCTTATTGCCCACAGGGGGCAATGTTATGAACGTGGTTCCGATCCTGGCCCGCTTTGCCTCCTGGGAGTTGTAGTCTCCTGGAGCTAGGGGGCTCAGCTGGGCAGTAGGCAGCCTTGCAGCACGGCACGAGTGGCACCATGAGCTGGCCAGGGGCTGGGCTGGGCGACAGGCAGCCCTGCCGAACCCAGAGCAGGGTGGCTGTAAATGCAGGGGAGTCGCAGGCCGGGCGTTGCAAGTCGGGGGTCGCCTGTACGTGTTGTTTTTTAAGTTTTTCCCGTTATAGACTAACTCGGCTCCCCCTCTGACGGGCTAGAGAAAGGCAGAGATCTCTGGTCTAGCTGGGCTTTTCATAGCGCATGGATCCGGGTGCTCCAGGAGCTGGGATTGTTTTGGGGCTAGGGGAAGGGAAACCCCGGGCACACAGACCGAAATGCAAGAGGCAACTGCCTCCGTGCTGTCCTGTGGGGGAAGGGAGCCACACAGTGTCAAAGCCCCTCCTGTGGCAGGAGCAGTGGGCCCACGTTTGCCCAGCGTGCGGCACTGACACCGTTCGCGTGCACGGAGCATCCCCGGGTGCGGGCAGGTCAGCAGGCAGAGACTTGCCCCCAGAGCGGCGCCTGTGCGCCATGCCAGGCTGGGAACACTGCAGGATCCTTCCACAGTTAGGAAACTGAGGGCTGAGAGCTAAGGGTGATGGAGGACCACGGGCCGGGTGGGGAAACGAACCCTTCGGGAGCCCTGGGCTGGCCAGCGTGCGCCAGGTTCCTCGTGCGGGAGGTAGGGTCATGGGGCTGATGCCCATGTCTCACTGGGGTGCTCACCAAAGCCCAGCAACCCCTGGGCTGTGCTCCCAGCCCCCCGGGAAGCGGAGATCTGCACACAATGGCAACCTGATGGGTCAAGCCAGGCAGTGGGCGCACGCAGGAGGAAGAGAGGCCCTCGTTTCTCGGCACAGGGAAGGAGCCCGGTCCGGCTCTGACGAGCACTGGTGGGACGGGGCTTGCGGTGCGGCTCAGACCGTGCCGAGGGTGCACACCGTTAGCTCAGCGCGGGGCTGGGGCGCGCACTGCGCAGAGAGCAATCTGGGCAGCAGTAACCACGGCAACCGGTGAAGATTCATGTCACGTGACTGGCCAGGGATGAAGGACCAGTCCCGCATGGCTCTCCGTTATCCCGTGGTGCAAGGGGAAATCATAGAATAATAGGACTGGAAGGGACCTCGAGAGGTCATCGAGTCCAGCCCCCCGCCCTCAAGGCAGGATCAAGCTCCGTCTACACCATCCCTGACAGATGTCTATCTAACCTGTTCTTAAATATCTCCAGAGAGGGAGATTCCACCACCTCCCTTGGCAATTTATTCCAATATTTGACCACCCTGACAGTTAGGAATTTTTTCCTAATGTCCAATCTAAACCTCCCCTGCTGCACTTTAAGCCCATTACTCCTTGTCCTGTCCTCAGAAACCAAGAGGAACAAATTTTCGCCTTCCTCCCCGCTCGGAGCAAACGTGGAACCAGTGAGGCTGCGGTAGCCCAGTCCAGAAGGGAACAGGGCAGAGAGCCGGGGGTGGGAGAGGCTGCTGTGCCCCAGATTCCCTTGGAGGCCAGGGTCATGGCAGAGAAAACCAAAGGGGGCATTCATCCCCAGCACTCCCTGCAGGAGGCCTAGGATCACCAGGGATCTGCAGCGCACCTCGTGGGGAGCAAGGGGGCTGCAAATGGCTGGCTGGCTATGCAGGCGTGCCGTGACCCTCAGCAAAGGCCCGTCCTTCCAAGGAACCAGCCACGGTGCCGGGTGAGACCAGTCGGAGACCCATGAAGGAGAGAGGCGCCTGGCGCTACTGGATACGGTCATGGGCTACTGCCCTTTTGTAACCCTGGCCCATGTCAGGCGGGGGGGACACCCTTCCCCAGCACTCCTGTGCCTTGCCCCTTTATCACCTACCCCTAGGCGCTGACTTGGTGGGGAGGCCACTGAGTTAATGGCTGCAGGGCAAGTACCTGATGGAACTAGACAACGGAGCCTGGCGCTCCACAGACTATGAGAGATGCATTGGCTACATGCTGGAGTTGGCTCAAACCCTGCTCTCTAGACTCCTTGGCTACGTCTAGATTCACTGCGTTTCCGGGCTACCATGGGCATTTTCCAAGGAATGCGTCCGCTTGTGTGGAAATCTTTTGAAAAAGTGGACGTGCTCTTTTGCCATCCCTGTAAACCTCGTGTTACAAGGATTAAGGGATGTGTCAAAAAAGCACTTTCCCCCCAAATCTGGCTCAGTATAGATGTGCCACATTTCAGAAAAGCCTCTTTCCACAGGAAAGTGGAAAAAGCGCAAATTGTTTTCTCACCCTATAGCTCAGCAATCCAGCGTAGCCCCTGCCGCCGCCTCTTTGGAATGACTGGGCCTAGGGGTGAGTAAAACCTCACAGAATCCTAGAGCTGGAAGAGACCTCAAGAGGTCATCAAGTCCAGCCCCCTGTTCTAGGCAGGACCAGCCCCTCCTCATGAGCGCCCTGCATGTAACTGAGCGTGTGACTGCTCCAGTCCCTGGGCGACATGCTGTTTATCCCATTAAGGCAGCGGAGCTGGGATGGGATTTCCTCGTTTCCCTGGGAAGGCAGGAGGATTTCTGCTGTTTGCTTCAAGCACAGGCAAAGAACAGGGCCAGTAAACTGCCTATGGGGCCATTAAAATCCTGTCCACATCAAAAAATGGCCGGTCCAGGCTCAGCATCCTCCCACGTTTTGCTCAAGGCCTGTGATGTTCTGTGGCAGTAACTCCACAGCAGCGACCTAATTGTGACCACACACAGTGTTTGTAGAGCTAACGTCTGTTTCTCATTACCCAGCTGTCTTCCAGCTTCTCTTCTCCCCCAGAGCCTTCCTTTGTGACCCCGAGGGATCGCAGGACATGTACCGCAGGGAGAAAGCCCTGAGAAGTGCCGCTTGTTTGCTCTTGGTGGGTGGGCTGGGCATCGCCAAAGAACGCTGGGTTGGAACAATGTCTGGCAGATCAGGGAGGTAGATTGGGGGGCAAATAACAGACAGGGGACCCTGAGGCACAGAGCTGAACTATCTTGTCCGTGATTAAGCGGTTTAGCGGCAATGGAACTTTATGGGGCTCAGTTTGCCTGTTTAACCTGGCCCGAATACACAGAAAAGCGTTCTTGCTAATTGAGCAAAGGATCACTAGGTGGAGAACTTTGATCACATGGCAAAGGGGCATTATAAAAGGGGAGGGGTTCCCCAGCAGCTCTAACCACTACACCACACATTTCCCAAGCTCTGTGGCGGAACACACATCACTTGTACCTCCATCGCAAGTTTGG